CAAGGAGTTGTTGAATTATCTATCACCTCCAGCAACAGGTTTCCGGCAAAACCGCAAGGACAGTTAATCCGTGATTTACATCCATTTTTTATTAGTGGCCATTCGAAGTTACGATGGCACTGAAAAAAAGTGACTCACGACCATTTTTCACACTTACGACCGATGCAGCATCCCCACCGTGATCAAATGTTCAGCTAGCCCTCGACTTAATTGTTCCTTTAGCGACCGTCCGAAGTTACAACAGCACTGAGAAAAGGGACATATCTTGTCCTGTTTTCACACTTATGACCGTTGCAAGATCCCCACATAATCAAAATTCAGACGCTTGGCAACGGATTCGTATTTATGACAGTTGCAACATCCCAGGGGATGGGGGGGAAGGTGTCACGTGATTCCCCTTTTATGGCCTTCCAACCAGCCAAGCCGATAGGGAAGCCAGATTCACTTAACAACTGTGTTACCCATTTAACGACTGCCCGGTTTACTTAAACAACTGTGGGTTTAACGTGGTTGTAAAATGTGGCAAAACTCACTGAATAACTGTTCCAGCAATGCAAATGTTGGGTTCAATTGTGGCCATAATTCGAGGACTATCTGTACTTATCACACTAGAAAAAGAACATTTTGATTGGGTAACAAAAATCATCAGATCCAGTTACAGCATAAAAACTCAGCGTCCAATAATACTTAAGCAGAACCACTGAAATATATTAAAAGTAGAAGGGGAAAGAAAAATAAAAAAACAGCCTGGGAAAAGACCTTCTGAGTCCCATAAAGTCCTTGTAAAAAGACACAACTGCCTTTTATCAAAACAACTAGTACATAGAGATGAATAACCCTTTGTTACTTCAGCCTGAGAAAGTTCTTATTTTGCGGTTAGAAAGTTGCAGCAATTCGGTTGCTAAGCCACAAAACTTCTGCATTCCATTAAATTCAAATGCAAATTCAGAATAGAGCTGGAGGGGAACCTTGGAGGTCTTCTAGTCCAGCCCCCTGATCAAGCAGAACCCTACACCATTTCAGACAAGTGGCTGTCCAGTCTCTTCTTAAAAACCTCCCAATGATGGAGCCCCTACGACTTCTGGTGGCCAGCTGTTCCGCTGGTTCATTATTCTCACTGCCACAAAATTTCTACTTGGTTACATTATAAGGTTATCATCATTAAATGTAAAAAGTAGAGGCAGTTCTTGATTTACGACCACAATTTGAGTCCAAAATTTCCTGTTGCTAAGCCAGACGGTTGTTAAGTGAGTTTTGCTCCCGTTTACTTTCTTTCTTTTCCGCGGTTGTTAAGTGAAACACTGCAGTTGTTAAGTTAGTCATACGGTTGTTAAGTGAATCAGATTCTTCATGGACTTTTTGTATGATGGTCGCAAAAAGGGATCCCGTGACCCCGGGACATTGCAATGTCACGTGGTCGATCACATGACTACGAGGATGCTTCAACAGTGGTGTGAAAATGGTTATGTCATTTTTTTTTCAGTCCCGTTGTAAACTTTGAACCATCGCTCAGTGAGTGGTTCTAAGTCGAGGAGTACCTGCAAAGGAAAGTAAAACAAAGTACAATAAAGCCCATGTTGCTTGGCTGCTGTCACTCTCCTGGCCATATATTTTCAATTTTTTCCTTGCTGTTTCTTCTTTTTTTTAAAAAAAAAATTTGATTGATTTTATTATTCAATACATTTCTTGGTGCTTAATAAACATCGTGTTGTCTGGGTATTTAATTTGCTTAACAATACAGATTTACATTCTTAATCTCACTCCACCCCTTTTTTCCAACCATCGGTAAAATAAATTCCATGTTTGATAATATTCAATGTCTTCTTTCTGTTTAATTTTCAATGTCAATCTATCCATTTCTGCACAATCTAGTACAGTGATGGCTAATCTTTTTGCCATCACATGCCAGGAGCGTGGACGGGGGGGAACGGGGGGTCACTCACACCCATAATTCTATGTGCCCTGGCCCTGCACATCCGGGTACGACCCCCCGCTACTCCGCCATTCCTGGCACGCGATGGCTCGGTGGACGGTAGGCCCGTTTTTTGCTCTCCCTAGCCTCCAGAGCCTTTCTAGGAGCCTGGGGAGGGCGAAAATGGCCTTCCTCACCCTCCCGGAAGCCCTCCGGAGGTTGGAAACGGCCCAGAAGGCCCAAAAATCAGCTGGCGCTGAGTTCACGTGCCCACCAATATGGCTACGCATGCCACCTGTGGCACGCGTGTCATAGGTTCGCCGTCACAGATCTAGTATCTTCTTGACTTCTTGGTATATCTTAATTTTTCCAATATTGTGCGAAAATAATCCTCGCTGCTGTTGGGACGTTATATTAAATGCATACTTTTCTTATCAAGTTTTTTCTGATATTATACTTAACAATTCAGGTTTAAAATCTACATGTTTTCCTATCCTCTTTTCTAATCACCTGTGTTGTATCTTTGCCCAATTCTTTTTTTTTTTTTTTGTGCTTTGACACAAGTTTACCACAAATGATAAAATGTGCCCGTTTTTGGGTTACATTTCCAACATTTGCTAGACATATTTTTAAACATTTTAGCTATCTGTTGCTACTTTCCCTGGTTTCTGGTTTCTTAGAGTTGGTCAACCCTTGAGTCAATATATTTCTTTTATTCCTCGCCTGTTCCATCATCAGTTCTTACCTTTGTGGATTTTAGAATTATTATTCTGGGGCTTGGAAGGATTTTTCTCCCTTAATTCTCTTTCTTTGGCTAGATTCGATTTGATCCTGGCTAACTATAACTCCAGAATATATTTCCTGCATTTATTCCTATGCAGGCAGTCCTGGACTTATGACCACAATGGAGTTCAAAATTTCTGTTGCTAAGCGAGACCGTGTTTAAGTGAATTTTGCCCCATGTTGCAACCTTTCTTGTCTTGGTTGTTAAGTGAATCACCGAAGTTGTTAAGTAAATAGGAGGGTTGTGAAATCAGAATCTGGCTTCCCGTTGACTTTGCTTGTCCGAAGGGGATCACTCCAACCGTCATAAGTACATGCCAGTTGCCAAGCATTTGAATTTTAATCACCTGACCACAGGGATACTGCAATGGTGGTGTGAAAAATGGTCGTAAGTCACTTTTATCAGGGCCGTCGTAACTTTGAACGGTCACTAAATGAACTGAATCGGGTGCCCGTCAGTGTGGATCAGAAACTTGGAGTTTCCTGGATGAAACGGTGGTGATTTTTCTTTTCTGACAATGAGATTCGAATGTGCCAGAGGTTGAATTAAGGACGTTCACTTCCTCCTTTATCCCCTTTGTATGGACAGAGATGGGGAAATGTGGGTTTCCCCTAGTGAGCCTGGATTGACATCTTACTGGCAAGTCATCCTCAGGAGGAGGAAGTCAAAGGTTGGCTTCGAGGAGATATAAAGACCTCCGGGGACCCAAAAGGATCATTAAGTGATGATCAATGGTTGCAAGTCAGAAGAGCCGTCCTGTTGGAATCCAAGACCTTCGTAGTAAGTAATCTGATTTGATTTGAATTGAATTCAATACTTTGCGTGGGCGTGCAGTGCTGAAATTTAATACTTTATTTGGCCACGTGTGATTAGATGCACAAGGAATAAATTGAATATTGTATTTGGGAAAGTGTGATTAGATGCACGAGGAATAAATTCAATATTGTATTTGGGAAAGTGTGATTAGATGCACGAGGAATAAATTCAATATTTTATTTGTCCAAGTGTGATTAGACGCACAAGGAATAAATTTAATACTTTATTTGGTCGTGTGATTAGACACATGAGGAATCAATTCAATATTTTATTTGTCCAAGTGTAATTAGACACACGAGGAATAAATTTAATAGTTTTATTTGGTCTAGTGTGATTAGATGCACGAGGAATAAATTTAATACTTTATTTGGTCTAGTGTGATTAGATGCACGAGGAATAAATTTAATACTTTATTTAGTCTAGTGTGATTAGACGCATGAGGAATCAATTCAATATTTTATTTGTCCAAGTGTGATTAGACGCACAAGGAATAAATTTAATAGTTTTATTTGGTCTAGTGTGATTAGATGCATGAGGAATCAATTCAATATTTTATTTGTCAAGTGTGATTAGACACACGAGGAATAAATTTAATAGTTTTATTTGGTCTAGTGTGATTAGATGCATGAGGAATCAATTCAGTATTTTATTTGATCAAGTGTGATTAGACGCACAAGGAATAAATTCAATACTTTTATTTGGTCTAGTGTGATTAGACGCATGAGGAATCAATTCAATATTTTATTTGTCCAAGTGTGATTAGATGTACGAGGAATAAATTTAATACTTTATTTGATCTAGTGTGATTAGACGCATGAGGAATCAATTCAATTTTTTATTTGTCCAAGTGTGATTAGATGCACAAGGAATAAATTTAATACTTTATTTGGTCAAGTGTGATTAGGCGCGTGAGGAATCAATTCAATATTTTATTTGTCCAAATGTGATTAGACACAAGAGGAATAAATTCAATACTGTATTTGTCCAAGTGTGATTAGACGCACAAGGAATAAATAGGATAGGATAGGATAGGATAGGATAGGATAGGATAGGATAGGATAGGATAGGATAGGGTAGGGTAGGGTAGGGTAGGGAAGGGTAGGGTAGAGTAGAGTAGAGTAGAGTAGAACAGAACAGCACAGCACAGAACAGAACAGAACAGAACAGAACAGAAGAGGTTTATTTGGCCAAGTGTGATTGGACTCACAAGGAATTTGTCTTCAAGGCAGACGCTCTCAGTGTACATGCAAAACAACAGAGTAATAATAATCCTAATAATGATGCCAATAAGATTAATTAATAATTGTTATGTTATGTTATAATATGTTATAATCAATAAAATATAATGTAACATACCATAGCATAGCATAACATAACAACAATAACAATAATAATATAGCCGCTCATTTCACCGTTAGTGACGCTTTTGGTCACGACCTCTTGAACCCCCCCCTCCCCGGCCAGGGTCTTTATTCTCTTCTCTTCTAGGATTCTCCATGACCGGCATGTCTAACCTTTACCTAACCATGATGATGTGGGTTCTTTTCCTGCCGATCTTCGAATCTCGCCTCCTTCTTAAAACAGAACCGAAGCACACAGGAGCCCTGAAGCTCCAAATCACCCAGAGGGGGCTGACTTATGGTGAGTTTCGGCTTGAGGTCCTCACGCTTTTTGACTTAAGGGAAGTCAAAAAGGTTCCCGGGAACTTTGTCCATTTGCAAAATAGGCAATGATGACATCATGGGAATGAGGGCATCATCAGCCAATCCAGTGGTGGGTTTCAAATTTGTTTACTACCGGTTCTGTGGGTGTGGCTTGGTGGGTGTGCTTGGTGGGCGTGGCAGGGGAAGGATACTGTAAAATCTCCATTCACTCCAGGGGAAGGATACTGCAAAATCCCCATTTCCTCCCGATCAGCTGGGACTCGGGAGGCAGAGAATAGATGGGGCCCAGTCAGAATTTTGACTACCGGTTCTCCGAACTACTCAAAATTTCCGCTACCGGTTCTCCAGAACTGGTCAGAACCGGCTGAAACCCCACCTCTGAGCCAATCGTGTCTTTTTGCGTTTGGCGCGATGGTGATTCCACCATCCGCCGTGCCCTTAAAACTTTCTTTTTTCAGCAAGCCGGGCTGGCTTAATATATTTTTTAAATATTTTTAATTGTTTGTTTTATTTTTTAATTTTATTTTATATCCAATTTATATACCGCCCTTCTCCCTGAGGACTCAGGGCGGTGTACAGCCAAATAAAAATATAAATTACAAACATTCAAATAGTATTAAAAGGATATATATAAATTTGGCCCCCATAATTTAAAAACAATAACAAACCAATTTAAAACATTTAAAAAAGTTATTTTAAATTGGAGCCAAATTAATATATATCTTTTTAATTGTTTTTAATGTTTGTATTGGTTGTTTTTTTTATCTGGCTGTACACTGCCCTTGAGTCCCTCGGAGAAGGTGCGGTATATAAATTCGAAATAAATAAATAAATAAATAAATAAATAAATAAATAAATAAATAAATAAATAAACATCTGGTGGAAATTCAGTGGGACAGTATTTCTTAACTTCAGCCATTTGAAGACGTATGGACTTCGACTCCCAGAATTCCCCAGTCGTTCTCCAAACTACTACAAATTTTTACTACCGGTTCTTGTGAACCGGTGCGAACCGGGAGCAACCCACCACTGGAGTAGTCCCTATGCACATAGCCATGGCCACCCGGTCACATGACCAGCTAGCCACGCCCCCCAAATAAGCCACGCCCACAGAACCAGTTGTTAAAAAAATTGAATCCCACCACTGCATACACACCTTCCTTCTGCGCGTGCAGATCGCCGATGATGACATCCGGGGCAGTGGGCGGGGCCTTCCACCGGTTTTACTCGGGTTCTCACGAACCGGTCTGAACCACCTCTGTCTTAGGCCCAGGGGAACAGGATTTTGAACTGATCATTCTCGTTGTTTTCTTTTGAACCCAGCACTGACGTCCCTCTTTTTAAGAGGCGACGTCGGTGCCGGGTTCAAAAGACAAGGGCAAGAATCGTAACCTTTGTTAACCCTTTGCAGTGAAGGACGTGGTGATAGAGATGCTGCTGTCACAACTGAGGAAGCAGCCGATCCCAGATCAAAGCAGCAGATACAACGTGCCCATGCTGGGAGAAGTCTCCATGTGGTTTTCAAAGTAAGCATGTGCCCAGATTCCTCCTCTACCAAACACAGGTAGTCCTCGACTTACGACCACAACTGAGCCCGAAGTTGTTAAGTGAGGCATTTGTGAAGGGAGATTTGCCTCCATGTTGCGTCTTTTCTCGCCCCCGTTGCTAAGCGAATCACTTCAATTGTTGAGTTAGTCACACGGTTGTTTCAGTGAATCCGGCTTCCCCATTGACTTGGCTCGTCAGAAGGCCAGAAAAGGACCGTCATAAATCCTGGTAGTCCTCGACTTACAACTGTTCATTTAGTGATCATTCAAAGTTACAACCGCACTGAAAAAAAGTGACTTACGACCATTTTTCACCCTTATGACCATTGCAGCATCCCCATGGCCACGGGATTTACAACCAGATGCTCAACGAATGGTTCATAGTTATGACGGCTGCAGTGATTATATTTTGCGACCGTCCGACAAGCAAAATCAGATTCACTTAACAACCAGGTTACCAGTTTAACAACGGGCAGTGATTCACTTAACAAATGTGGCAAGAAGAGGTAAAATGGGGCAAAAACTCACTTAGCAAATTTCTCACTTAGCAACATAAATTCTGGGCTCCCTTGTGGTCGTAAATCAAGGACTACCTGTACGATGTTGCCAAGCATCCAAATTTTGATCATGGGTCGTTAAGTGTGAAAAGCGGTCATAAGTCGCTTTTTTCAGTGTTTGTTGTAATTCAGACCGTCACTAAATGAACTGTTGTAAGTCAAGGACTACCTGTACAATTTTGCTGCATTACATTTGAGCCTTTAGGGCAGAGGTCTGCAAACTTGGCAGCTTTAAGACTGGTGGACTTCAACTCCCAGAATCCTCCAGCCAGCACAGCTTTAAAACTTTAAAACAGCACTGTTTTCTTTATAAATAGAGCTCACATTTAACACCTGGCAGTGTCAGGTGTTCCACTAGAAATGGAACCCTCGCCCCACAAAGGAGGCCGTGAGTTCGATCCTAGGTAGAGGCAGATATTTCTCTCTCTGGATACAATGAGAATATATCTGCTGAACAAAACTCCGTACTGGAGACAGGGACGGCATCCGGCCAGTAAAACACTCTGCTAACTCTGGGAAATACGTTCTTGCATGTTTAAGGAAGTAAACTTTCTACCTGCTGATGCTGATGTCTCTTTCCTTCTTCTCCTTCACAGCACCCAAATCGAACAACTTCAGGTGAAGGAGTCGATGGCTTATTTTGACAAAGACAGAGGCATCAGACTGTCCATCCAAAAAGCTCACGTTCTGTTCAGTAGCAACTGGAAGATAAAACATTTATTTGGGTAACTACTTTTGTGGGATGAGTGTCTGAGGAAGGGAGCCCATGAGGCAAGTTACGGATTTGGGATTGACATGACATATTACAGAATAATAAAGTTGGAAGGGGCCTTGGAGGTCTTCTAGTCCAACCCCCCTTTGGAAGCTGGCTGAGGAATTCTGGGAGTTGAAGTCCACAAGTCTTAAAGTTACCAAGATTGGAGACCCCTGCCCTATAGCATTCCAGACAAGTGGCTTTGTCCAATCTCTTCTTAAAAAACTTCCAATGTTGGAGCATTTACAACTTCTGGTGGCAAGTTGTTCCACTGATTAATTGTTCCATCAGGAAATTTCTCCTTAGTTCCAGGTTGCTTCTCTCCTTGATTAGTTTCCACCCGTTGCTTCTTGTCCTGCCTTCAGGTGCTTCGGAGAATAATTTGACCCTTCTTCTTTGTGGCAACCCCTGAGATATTGGAAGATTGCTATCATGTCTCCCCTAGTCCTTGCTTTTATTAAACTAGACATACCCAAATCCTGCAACCGTTTTTCATGTTTTAACATCCAGTCCTCTAAATTAATTGTCCTCACTGTTAGGAAATTTCTCCTTAGTTCTAAGTTGTTTCTCTCCTTGATTAGTTTCCATCCATTGTTCCTCGTCCTGCCTTCAGGAGCTTTGGAGAACAGAACAAAAGAGAGTAGGAAGGGACCTTGGAGGTCTTCTAGTCCAACCTCCTACTCAACCAAGAAACCCTACCCCATTCTCAACAAATGGCTGTCAATCTCTTCTTAAAGACCTCCATTGATGAAGCACCCACAACTTCTGGAGGCAAGCTGTTCCACTGGTTAATTGTCCTCACTGTTAGGAAGTTTCTCCCGAATTCCAGGTTGCTTCTCTCCTTGATTAGTTTCCATCCATTGTTTCTCCTCCTGCCTTCTGGTGCTTTGGAGAAGAGTTTGACGCCCCCTCCTCTTTGGGGCAGCCCCCCCAAATATTGGAAGACTGCTATCACAGTACTCTCTAGTCCTCCTTGAGAACAATACCCATGAATGCCAAGGTCATTCAAATGATGCCCAACTGTCCACAGCTTCTTGTAATGTAGGTTGGGTAGGAATCCTATTGATGGGTTCCCCAAAAAAATCATGAGTTCAAAGTTGCATCTCTTTGGTGGTGATAAAGGTCTGAAAATGTTTTGGTTGCGTCCCATTGTTGATTGTTCCTCAACCAAGGTCAGGAGGCATTCAATTTTGGGTTCTGGCCCTACTCTTTGGAAAAGCCTTCGCTCAGAAATTAGAACTGTCCCTTCTTTCATCGTGTTTTGAATGATGGTGATGTCAGCCCTTCCCCACGGAAATTAATTGGCCCTTCTCAATTTTTTTTTTTGGTTCCTATTCGTGTGATCTTTATTGATAACACTAGAAGAGAATGTTTCGTTGAATTGTGGGGTCCTTGGTGCTCTGTGAATTTGGTTATTTTCTTGCCGATGTTTCATGACCCAACTAAGGAACATCAAACCACACTCCCTTCTAGCATTGAGGAATACCTAGTTGGGTCATGAAATGACGGCAAGAAAACAATGAAGCTCAGTGAGCACCAAGGACCCCCTTCAATTCTCTCCTCGTCCATCTCCTCCTCCTCCTCTTCTTCCTCCTCTCCCTCCTCCTCCTCTCCGCAAACCTCATTCCCTTCCAGCCTTGATGATGTTCCCTAGTTGGGCCATGAAATGATTGCAAGAAAACTATCAAGCTCAGTGAGCACCAAGGACCCCACAGTTCTCCTCCCCCTCCTCCTTCTCCTTCTCCTCCTCTTCTTCTTCCTCCTCCTCCTCTCCCTCCTCTTCCTCTCCCTCCTCCTCCTCTCTGCAAATCTCATTCCCTTCCAGCCTTGATGATGTTCCCTAGTTGGGTCATGAAATGATTGCAAGAAAACAATCAAGCTCAGTGAGCACCAAGGACCCCACAGTTCTCCTCCCCCTCCTCCTCCTCCTCCTCCTCCTCTTCTTCCTCCTCCTCCTCCTCTCCCTCCTCTTCCTCTCCCTCCTCCTCCTCTCTGCAAATCTCATTCCCTTCCAGCCTTGATGATGTTCCCTAGTTGGGTCATGAAATGATTGCAAGAAAACAATCAAGCTCAGTGAGCACCAAGGACCCCACAGTTCTCCTCCCCCTCCTCCTCCTCCTCCTCCTCCTCTTCTTCCTCCTCCTCCTCCTCTCCCTCCTCTTCCTCTCCCTCCTCCTCCTCTCTGCAAATCTCATTCCCTTCCAGCCTTGATGATGTTCCCCAGTTGGGTCATGAAATGATTGCAAGAAAACTATCAAGCTCAGTGAGCACCAAGGACACCCACAGTTCTCCTCCCCCTCCTCCTTCTCCTCCTCCTCTTCTTCCTCCTCTTCTTCTTCCTCCTCCTCCTCCTCTCCCTCCTCTTCCTCTCCCTCCTCCTCCTCTCTGCAAACCTCATTCCCTTCCAGCCTTGATGATGTTCCCTAGTTGGGTCATGAAATGATTGCAAAAAAAAAAAACAATCAAGCTCAGTGAGCACCAAGGGCCCCACAGTTCTCCTCCCCCTCCTCCTTCTCCTCCTCCTCCTCTTTTTCCTCCTCCTCTTCTTCCTCCTCCTCCTCCTCTCCCTCCTCTTCCTCTCCCTCCTCCTCCTCTCTGCAAATCTCATTCCCTTCCAGACTTGATGATGTTCCCTAGTTGGGTCATGAAATGATTGCAAAAAAAAAAAAAAAACAATCAAGCTCAGTGAGCACCAAGGACCCCACAGTTCTCCTCCCCCCTCCTCCTCTTCTTCCTCCTCCTCCTCCTCTCCCTCCTCCTCCTCCTCCTCTCTGCAAACCTCATTCCCTTCCAGCCTTGATGATGTTCCCTAGTTGGGTCATGAAATGATTGCAAAAAAAAACAATCAAGCTCAGTGAGCACCAAGGACCCCACAGTTCTCCTCCCCCTCCCCTCCTCTTCTTCCTCCTCTTCTTCCTCCTCCTCTCTGCAAACCCCTCTCCCTTCTAGCACTGAAGATTTTAGCCAAGGTGGGTAATTCCTGGATTCTCTCCATCCCCATAGACTGGATAACGGCATAGTTCAGGCCAACATCAGTCAACTCTCCCTCTCGGTCCTGCTTGGACTGGGCACGGACTATGACGGACGGCTCCTGCTTCGGCCACTCAGTTGCGCGGCTAACATTCCGGACCTTCAGTTGACGTTTTTTGGGCCAAACAGGTAGGCCACAAACCGCTGTCCTCGTTTTCCGTCATTGTTCGTCTTAGTCATCAAAACCCAAGCCACCTTGAACTAGTCTATTCCAGGAAAGCACAGTTAGTCCTCGATTTATGCCCAAAATTTCCATTGCTAATCCTTGACTTATGGCCAGAATTTCCGTTGCTAAGCGACAAGTGAGTTTTGCCCCATTTTATGACCTTTCTTGCCACCGTTGTTAAGTGAATCCGCGCTGTTGTTAAGTCACTAACGCAGTTGTTAAGTGAATCTGACTCCCCCCCATTTTTTATTTTTTTTAAAAAATTTGATTTATATGCCGCCCTTCTCCGGAGACTCAGGGCGGCTTACAATGCGTTAAGCAATAGCCTTCATCCTTTTCTATATTTATACAAAGTCAGCTTATTGCCCCCACAAACTGGGTCCTCATTTTACCTACCTTAGAAAGGATGGAAGGCTGAGTCAACCTTGAGCCTGGTGAGATTCGAACCTGCAGTAATTGCAGGCATCTGGTCTTAATAACCAGCTTAATAACAGGGTGCCTTAGACCACTGTACTACCAAGGCTCTCTTACGTCATAAGATTGTCAAAGGGGATCTTATGACCGTCATAAATATGGAATAGAACAGAACGGAAAAGTACAGAATAGAATATATGGAGTGGAAAAGAATGGAATGGAATGGAATAGTCTAGAATAGAATAGAATAGAATAGAATAGAATAGAATAGAATAGAATAGAAAATATGGAACGGAACAGAACAGAATACAATAGAATATATGGAGTGGAAAAGAATGGAATGGGATAGGATAGGATAGGATAGGATAGGATAGGATAGGATAGAATAGAATAGTATTAAAAATACAATAGTATAACAGAAGTGGTCGGTCCAGAAAAGGTTGGCCATCCCTGCCCTCTACTATTTCAGACAAATGGTTGTCCCTCCCATCTCTCCTTAAAAGCCTAGTGACGGAGCACCCAGAACTTCTGAAGGCAACTTCTATTCCACTGGTTAATTGTCCCCACTGTTAGGAAGTTTCCTTCCTCAGCGTCTCAGTGGTCAATGCTCCTTCCCCAATGCTCTTTTGTAAGACCCCCCCCCCCCACTGAACACCCCCCCCCTCAATCAAAAGTCATGGCAGTGACCGAACCCATTTCATCCTGAGATGCTTGCTTTCTTCTTGCAGCCACTTCTACAATTTGGTCTCTCAAAGTTTCAAGAAGGCCCTGATCTTCGATCTACACCAGGAGGTAAGATTTGGGGTCTCTTCCTCTCAAAGCAGGCCCTCCCGTTGACCGACGTCAAAAGCCACCGGGTGTCCATCCATCTTCATTGGCTCCACGGCTTCCTTAACAGCCTTTCAAATGCAAAGTTGTTTTTTTTTTTAAAAAAAATTCAGAATGGAGCTGGAAGGGACCTTGGAGGTCTTCTAGTCCAGCCCCCTGCTCAAGCAGGAGAACCTATACTATTTCAGAGAAGTGACTGTCTAGGTCCTCATTTGACCGACCTTGGAAGGACGGAAGGCTGAGTCGACTTTGAGCTGGTCAGAATCGAACTCCAGATTGTGGGCAAGAGTCAGCCTTCAATACTGATTTCTAACCACTGGGCCACCAGATATAGAATAGGTGATTAGATAGATAGATGGATAGATAGATAGATAGATAGATAGATAGATAGATAGATAGATAGATAGATAGATAGATAATGATAGATGAGAGAGAAACAGACAAAAGATAGATAGATAGATGATAGATAGGTAGATAGATAGATAGATAGATAGATAGATAGATAGATAGATAGATAGATAATGATAGATGAGAGAGAAACAGACAAAAGATAGATAGATAGATGATAGATAGATAGATAGATAGATAGATAGATGATAGATAGATAGATGATAGATAGATAGATAGATGGATGATAGATAGATAGATGATAGATAGATAGATAGATAGATAGAATGATAGATAGATAGATAGATAGATAGATAGATAGATAGATAGATAGATGATAGATAGGTAGGTAGGTAGATAGATAGGTAGATAGATAGATAGATAATGATAGATAGATAGATGAGAGAGAAACAGACACAAAGATAGATAGATAGATAGATAGATAGATAGATAGATGATAGATAGATAATGATAGATAGATAGATGAGAGAGAAACAGACACAAAGACAGACAGACAGACAGATAGATAGATAGATAGATAGATAGATAGATAGATAGATAGATATAGGTAGGTAGGTAGGTAGATAGATAGGTAGATAGATAGATAATGATAGATAGATAGATGAGAGAGAAACAGACACAAAGATAGATAGATAGATGATAGATAGATAGATGATAGATAGATAGATAGATAGATAGACTTGCAAATTGAAGTTGAGCGACTGTGGAAAAAGAAATCGTGTGTTGTCCCGATTGTAATTGGAGCCCTTGGAGCAGTACCCAAAGGGCTACCCCGCTATTTAGAAATTCTAAATTTGCCGGACTTGAACATTTTGACTCTACAAAAAACCACCTTACTCGGAACAGCTTACATCCTCCGACGATACCTTAACAGTTCCTAGGTCCTTGGTTAGGACTCGAGCTGCTGAGCTATTAACCAGCCTCAAAGGCTGTGAATCTCACTAAAGATTAACCAATATTATTATTATTATTATTATTATTATTATTATTATTATTATTATTATTATTATTATTATTATTATTATTACTACTATTATTTTATTTCTACACCACCCTTCTCCCGAAGGACTCAGGGCGGTGTACAGCCTATTAAAAGCACAAGACAAACATCAATTAAAATAATTTAAAATTATGAAATAATTCGGCTCAATTTAAAACCCCAGAAATTTAAAAAGTTTTTAAGAAGAATCCTTCTAGACCATTTGGGGGCAAGAGGCTGACTCTGTAAACCGCTTAGAGAAGGCTGGAAAGGGGTACATGAGTGCTATTCCTATCCGTAACTTTTTTCAGCGACGTAACTTTGAAGGCTCACTAAACGGATGGTCGTAAGTCGAGGACTACCTGTAAGATATGGGTTCGCTTCTCTATCAGCGCACCTATCGGGGAGTGAACGGAAACCACAACGGCCCGCACAAAGAGCCCGGCACAGGATCTTCCGTGAAGTGATCGGTGTCAGATTCTTGGCTGACGTCTGATTCTCATGGAGCCTTTTTCAAACGAGATTTATGAGAAGGGGAAGACGAGAAGTTTCCCCTGATTTCAACAAAAGGATTGTCTTTCATTTCGAGAGCCCAATTTATCTTTCAGCTTGTTAGCGCCGAGATTATTTTTCCCAAGGTCCTTTCTCTGAATTGGGGGCCTCCGTTGCTTTTTTTTTCCCACCCCCCCCAACCCAGCCAGGTGGAATGCACAGGTGTCGGTCGATAGTTTCCCAGCCACCTCCTGCATCCTTACGCAGAAGATGGGCAGATGCAGGTGGAAGGGAGGGCTCTAATTTCAATCAAAGGGCTCACCTGTCCGGTGGCAGAAGGCGGTGAGCAGGTGACATTGCTGGACAGATGGGTAGAGAGTCTAGAAATGGTCCATCTATTGTCCTCGCCCTACCTGTTCACCTGTCCGGTTTGCACACTGTTTTTTTTTTTGATGCCGAAGATTTCAAGGTGGTCTGGAGGACATTTTATCCAGGGGTGAAATCAGTGGTGAAATCGAAAATTTGTTAATACCGGTTCTGTGGGCATGGCTTGGTGGGGGGGGGGGAGAACGGGGTAATGTGACTGGGTGGGCATGGCCAATCTTTTTTTTTTTTTTACTTTTAAAACCATTTTTTTAAAAAACCCTCTGCCTATCAGGCAACTCAGCTGGGATCGTCAGAGCTTGGATCGTCAGAGCCATTTAAAAGAAAAAAAAGGCTCTGATGATCGCGCGGCTCAGCTGGGCATGGGGGGCGGGGGCAGGGATTTTTGCTACCGGTTCTCCGAACTGCACGCCGCCATCGCTACCTACTCGCCCGAGCCGGTCTGAATTGGGAGCATTTCACCGGTAGCAATGGAGGCGGGTGATTCGGAGAACTGGCAGCAAAAATCCCTGTCCCCCCCCCCCATTGCTCAGCTGAGCTGCACAATCATCAGAGGCTTTTTTTTTACTTTTAAAAGCATTTTTTATACAACCTCTTTGGCCGAAAAAATGCTTTTAAAAGTAAAAAAAAAAAAACCTCTGATGATCGCACGGTTCAGCTGAGATCGTCAAAGTCTTTTAAAAGAAAAAAAAGCCTCTGCCGATCAGGCAATTCGGCTTGGATCGTCAGAGCCTTTTGAAAGCATTTTTTTACAACTTCTTCGCCAAAGAGGTTGTAGAAAAAATGCTTTTAAAAGTAAAAAAAAAAAAAACCTCTGATGATCGCACGGTTCAGCTGAGATCGTCAAAGTCTTTTAAAAGAAAAAAAGCCTCTGACGATCAGGCAATTCGGCTTGGATCGTCAGAGCCTTTTGAAAGCATTTTTTAACAACTTCTTCGCCAAAGAGGTTGTAGAAAAAATGGTTTTAAAAGTAAAAAAAAAAAACCCTCTGATGATCGCACGGTTCAGCTGGGATCGTCAAAGTCTTTTAAAAGAAAAAAAGCCTCTGACGATCAGGCAATTCGGCTTGGATCGTCAGAGCCTTTTGAAAGCATTTTTTAACAACTTCTTCGCCAAAGAGGTTGTAGAAAAAATGCTTTTAAAAGTAAAAAAAAAAAAAACTCTGATGATCGCACGGTTCAGCTGGGATCGTCAAAGTCTTTTAAAAGAAAAAAAGCCTCTGACGATCAGGCAATTCGGCTTGGATCGTCAGAGCCTTTTGAAAGCATTTTTTTACAACTTCTTCGCCAAAGAGGTTGTAGAAAAAATGCTTTTAAAAGTAAAAAAAAAAAAACCTCTGATGATCGCACGGTTCAGCTGGGATCGTCAAAGTCTTTTAAAAGAAAAAAGCCTCTGACGATCAGGCAATTCGGCTTGGATCGTCAGAGCCTTTTGAAAGCATTTTTTAACAACTTCTTCGCCAAAGAGGTTGTAGAAAAAATGGTTTTAAAAGTAAAAAAATAAAAAAATGGCCACGCCCACCCAGTCACATTACCCTCCCCCCCAAGCCACGCCCACAGAACCGGTAGTAACAATTTTTTTTATCCTCCCTGTAGTGTAGGCTGGGATGAAGAAAAGAGGTAGGATACCAAAAAAGTTTCTGACATGAGGTTGTGACCTACAGGCTTTCTTTGACTTCTCAACCCTACGTTGAGTGACGGTTCGAACTTCAAAAACGGTCAAAAAAGTGACTTATGACTTTTCACACTTACGACCGTCGTAGCATCCATGATCAAAATTCGGTACCCTTGGCCATTGACTCGTATTTTGTGGCGGTCGCAGTGTCCCGGGGGTCACGCAATCCCCTTTTGCGACTTTTGCAACAAGCAAAGTCGACGGGGAAGCCCGATTCACTTAACAACCGTGTGACTCATTTAAGAACGTCAGTGGTTTGCTTAACCATGATGGCAGGAAAAGGGGGCAAAATGGAGTAAAACTCACTTAACGACTGTTTTGCTTAGCAATGGAAATTTGGGGCTCGATTGTGGTCAAGGACTACCTGTATATAGGTTACCGGGTGATAATTGACGGGTTGGGAATTTCGGCGTCGACTCCAGATGTGCCTGGAGGACATCAAAGACCAGATGTCAGAGCTGCCATCTCACGCCTGCACTTCACATTCATGTACTGCCAGTCTGCCATAAACTTTGGGGGAAGGGAGCTGGATGGGAGGGGGGGGAAAGTTAACGGCTCATCGTACCTTCTAGAGACACAACTTCGAAGTCCGACAGCTGGGAACGTCGTGCAAATCCACCCCGCCCCCGTCTACAATTGAAGAGACGGTTCCCAAAACATTTTATCTGAATATGATTGGACAAAGGGAAACAATGAGCAATGAGAAGGGACTAATGGGAGAAAGTTATCTGGGAAAATTTGGCGCGCGAATCTCAGTTCTGGCTTTGCTATCCATTTGACCTTTAGTCAAGCATACCTTTCAGTACAAATGGAGTCGAGGGTCTTTCCTGCTTGTTGGACCAAGTTGGACAGGACTGACACTAGAGAACTGAAAACGTTTTTCCATGTGCTGCCCATCTCTTCTTTTTTCATGAACAGGTTTTCCTTTTCTTCCAGGTATGCATGGAGGTCATTGAATCCATTTACGCTTTTTCACGGCATTTGAGTAGCACAAATTGTGAGTACGCCTACCACGATCGAGTTCAAACCCAGCTTCCTCTCCATCCTAGGCTCCATCAGATCTTGAATGTTGCTTTCTCTTGATCTTCTCTAGCCCAGGTCCAGATAGACTCCGTAGCAGGGATCAGCTACTCCTTGGTGAGCAAACCAGAAATTGAAGAGGATCGATGTAATCTGGACATCAAGGTAATGGCAGACGCACACAACATTAATCTCAGTTAATCTGTGATCCCTCGGTTACTTTTTAAATTCTAAAGAGTGCAGAGAAGAGCAGCTACGGTGATCAAAGACGTGGAGGCTAAATCATATGAAGAACGGTTGCAGGAAAATGGGTATGGTTAGTCTAGGGCAGTGGTGGCTAATCTTTTTCTCAAAAGCATGCTTGCATAAACATGCCGGCACCCATAATGCAATGCGTGCACCTCGTACGACCCCCGCAATCCTCCCGCGCATGCACATATGACTCCCTCCCCCTCACGCATGTGCGCGAGGGGTGGGATTTAAAAATTTTAGCAACCTGCTCCACGGGCCCATTTCTGGACTTCTGTAACTTCTGGGAGGCCCATATTTCGCCTTCCCCAGGCTCCGGAGGCTTAACCTGAGCCGCCGGGAAGGCAAAAACAGCCTCCCCAGGCTCTGGAGGCCCCTCCAGAGGCTGGAAACAGGCTCGTTTCCGCACTTTGTGAACATGCACGCCGCTCCCCCCGCGCTTCCCCTGCCCCCCCCGTGTATGCATGCATGAGCCCCCGCGCATGTACACCCGTTTCCCACATGCACCCCGCCCCCTGCGCATCCTGAAAATCAGCTGTCAGGCAGGAGGCTTAGTTTCCAAAGCCCCTGAAGGCAGGACAAGAAGCAACAGGTAGAAACTCATCAAGGAGAGAAGCAACCTGGAACTAAGGAGAAACTTCCTAACAGTGAGGACAATTAACCCGTGGAACTGCTTGCCACCAGAAATCGTGGGAACTCCATCACTGGATGTTTTTAAAAAGAGACTGGAAAGTTGCTTGTCTGAAAATGTCTAGGGCCGTGATGGCGAAACTATGGCATGTATGTCAGAGGTGGCACGCAGAGCAATCTCTGTGGGCACATGGGCACGGAGCACCGGAAAACGGCCTGAAAAAGGCACGAAAAACTGCCAAACAAAGGCTGTTAATAAACTGTCTTAACAGCCTACCAGAATTCCAAGATAAGGTAATCGCAGTCTTACTAGAGTTGGCAGAAAGCCCAGAAGCAATTTGCAGAGAATCCAGACGCGAAGGAGAATGAACTAAAGTTGTTCCCTACAAATTGCTTCAGTCGGCATTCCTCCTTAAATAGGCTAAGGGAGTGGCCAATTAGCCCCAAGCCTTACTCTCGAGGAGCCACTCCTGCCTTTTGGCAGCTCTGTGTGCCCGTGCATCGAAAAAAGGCTCCTCCTCTTCATCCTCTTCGCTTCTGGAGGTTCTGAAGGCCCTGGCTGAATCCCCGCCTCTGGCACCACATCCAGCCTCCTCATTGTCCGACTCGAGTGCCAGCTGCACAGGCTGCTGGTGCAACATCACACCAGCCTCCTCGCTGTCGGAATCAGCTACTAGCTGCACAGGCCGCTGACGGGCCACAACAGTATCCCTGAGGATGCTCTTGCGCCTTCTGGGATGAAATCCAGTGGGAAAAATGGACTTCAAGAATAACATTGTCCGTGTTTCCCACGTGGGTTAAGCTGTGCTGAAGGAATCAACAGAATTCAGGCAACTGAGAAGTTTGCAGAAGCTCCTTGAGTCAGAAGTCAAACTAGCTCAGCTGATTCAAAGCAGGAGAAAGAAGGAGAACCTGGAAGGAAATTGAAGCGACGCAGGTCGTCCTCAATTTACGACCGCAATTGTCACACACACACACACACACACCCCAAATTTCTGTGGCTAAGCAAGACAGTTGTTCAGTGAGTTTGGCCCCCATTTTACGATCTTTCTTGCGGTGGTTAAGTTAGTAACACGGTTGTTAAGTGAATCCGGCCACATAATCCCAGGACAACATGATCCCAGGACATTGCAAACGTCATAACTATGAGTCAGTTGCCAACCGTCTGAATTTTGATCACGTGCGCCGGTTGTAAGTGTGAAAAAAATTGTAACTTCGAACGGTCGGTAAATGAATGGTTGTAGGTTGGAAATTCCTCCTTTTTTCTTTCTTTCTTCTTCTTCTCCTTCTTTCTCCTCCTCCTCCTTCCTATTCCTTCCTCGTCTTCTTCTTCTTCTCCTCCTCCTCCTCCTTTTCTTCTTCTTCTCCTTCCTCTTCTTCTTGTTCTTTCTCCTCCTCCTCCTCCTCTTCATCGTCTTCTCCTCCTCCTCCTTCCCCTTCCTCTTCCCTTCCTCTTCTTCTTCCTCCTCCTCCCCCTTCCTCTTCTTCTTCTTTTTCCTCCTCCTCCTTCCTCTTTCTCGTCTTCTCCTTCTTCTCCTCCTCCTCCTCTTCTCCTCCTCCTTCCTATTTCTCCTCTTCGTCATCTTCTTCTTCTCCTCCTCCTCCTCCCTTCTCCTTCCCTTCCTCTTCTTCTTTCTCCTCCTCCTCCCTCTCCCCCTTCCTCTTCCTTCTCCTCCTCCACCCTCCTCTTCGTCTTCTTCTCCTCCTCCTCCTTCTTCCTTCCTCTTCTTTCTCCTCCTCCTCCTTCCTCTTCCTCGTCTCCTCCTCCTCCTTCCCCTTCTCCTACCTTTCCTCTTCTTCTTTCTCCTCCTCCTCCCTCTCCCCCTCCTCCTTCCTCTTCTTTCTCCTCATCCTCCTTCCTCTTCCTCCTCTTCGTCTTCTTCTTCTCCTCCTCCTCCTCCTTCCCTTCTCCTTCCTTTCCTCTTCTTCTTTCTCCTCCTCCTCCTCCCTCTCCCCCTCCTCCTTCCTCTTCTTCCTCCTCCTCCTCCTCCTCCTCTTCTTCTTCTTCCTTTTTCTTCTTTCTCCTCCTCTTCTCCTCTTCCTCCTCCTCCTCCTCCTCCTCACTCTATGCAACCCATGGTTGAATGGGTTAGGCCCTTTTGACCATAAGGAGAAGCTCACACGTGGGACTTAGTTTACCATTTCTCCTCTCTTGCCTTTCAGGGGAAATTCTTCTTGTTCAAACAGCGCCAAGCAATCTCTCTCGCGCCCATCCCCATCTTCCTACCCAACCGGTCACGCTCCATGATTGTAATTGGGGTCTCCGATGTTTTGGTCAACTCAGCAGCTTTTGTATATTTTATTGGAAATAAATTACGGGTGAAATTAACCGAAGAGATGGTAAGAGTCCTCCAGGGATTATCCCATCTTGAAGGAGACCTTTTTTCCTTCAAGGAGGAGGAGAAGGAGGAAGAGGAGGGAAAGGGAAAGAAGAAAGAGGAGGAGGAGAACAATGATGAGGGGGAGGAGGAAGACGAGGAAAAAGGGAAGGAGGAAGAGGAGGGAAAGGGAAGGAGGAGGAGGAGGAAGAAGAAGAGAAGGGGAAGAAGAAGGAGGGGGAGGAGGAAGAGGAGGGGAAGGGGAAGAAGGAGGAGGAAGAGGAGAAGGAGGAAGAGAAGGGGAAGGGGAAGAAGAAGGAGGAGGAGGAGAATAATGATGAGGGGGAGGAGGAAGACGAGGAAAAAGGGAAGGAGGAAGAGGAGGGAAAGGGAAGGAGGAGGAGGAGGAGGAAGAAGAGAAGGGGAAGAAGAAGGAGGAGAGGAGGGGGAGGAGGAAGGGAAGGGGAAGAAGGAGGAGGAAGAGGAGAAGGAGGAAGAGAAGGAGAAGGGAAAGAAGAAAGAGGAGGAGGAGAACAATGATGAGGGGGAGGAGGAAGACGAGGAAAAAGGGAAGGAGGAAGAGGAGGAAGAAGAAGAGAAGGGGAAGAAGGAGGGGGAGGAGGAAGAGGAGAAGGAGGAAGAGGAGGGGAAGGGGAAGAAGGAGGAGGAAGAGGAGAAGGAGGAAGAGAAGGGGAAGGGGAAGAAGAAGGAGGAGGAGGAGAACAATGATGAGGGGGAGGAGGAAGACGAGGAAAAAGGGAAGGAGGAAGAGGAGGGAAAGGGAAGGAGGAGGAGGAAGAAGAAGAAGAGAAGGGAAGAAGAAGGAGGGGAGAAGGGGGAGGAGGAAGAGGAGGGGAAGGGGAAGAAGGAGGAGGAAGAGGAGAAGGAGGAAGAGAAGGGGAAGGGAAAGAAGAAAGAGGAGGAGGAGAACAATGATGAGGGGGAGGAGGAAGAGGAGGAAAAAGGGAAGGAGGAAGAGGAAGGAAAGGGAAGGAGGAGGAGGAGGAAGAAGAGAAGGGGAAGAAGAAGAAGGAGGGGGAGGAGGAAGAGGAGAAGGAGGAAGAGGAGGGGAAGGGGAAGAAGGAGGAAGAAGAGGAGGGGGATAGGGAGGAGGAGGAAGAAGAGGAGGAAGAGAAGGGGAAGAGGAGAAGGAGGAAGAGGAAGGGAAAGGGAAAAAGGAGGAGGAGGAGAGGATTGGAGAGTCATTTGTCCAAAATGGTATCGGCTCTCTTGCTTGAGCAGCGGGTTGGACTACATGATCTCCAAGGTCCCAACTCTGTTGTTCTATATTCTAAAGAAATCCGTTCCCCTTTCAGATACCCAAAAGGTCCCCAATTCGCTTGAATACCCAAAGCATGGGATACTTTTTACCCGAGGTAAGCAAACTGATGGGTTGGGGAATCAGGCAGAGGGTTGGGGTGGAGACGGGGGGAGATGGGTGGATCTTGGGTGGATCTCCAGCCTCCGCTCGTCTTCCTCTGCAGCTGAGGAGGTGGTTTTCACCAATGCCCATGGAGCTGCACCTGGCAGCCCGGAAGGAGCCGGAGCTGCACTTCCACCCTGGGGGTCTGGATGCCATCGTCCTGGGCCGGCTGGAGGCCTTTGTGGTCCGGCCCAATAGCAGCCTGATGAACGTATTCACCCTCAACATCGTAAGCATCGGGGCAGGGAAAGGGGTCAGGTTGGGCAGGAGGGAGACGGGCGGAAATGAATCCCAGCCCAACTCAGGTGTGTGGGCAGGGTAGGGTTGAAAAGCCTCTGAGATTAGAAGAAAGGGAGCGGGAGAAGAGAAGAGGACAGGAGAGGAGAGGAGAGGAGAGGAGAGGAGAGGAGAGGAGAGAAGAGAAGAGAAGAGAAGAGAAGAGAAGAGAGTAGAGTAGAGAAGAGAAAAGGAGAGAAGAGTAGAGAAGAGAAGTGTAGAGAGGAGAAGAGAAGAGAGAGAAGAGGAGAGTAGAGAAGAGTAGAGAAGAATAAAGAAGGGAAGAGAAAAGGAGAGAAGAGTAAAGAGTAGAGTAGATAGTAGAGAAGAGAAAAGGAGAGAAGAAAAGAGTAGAGAAGAGTAGAGAAGAATAAAGAAGGGAAGAGAAAAGGAGAGAAGAGTAAAGAATAGAGTAGATAGTAGAGAAGAGAAGAGAAGAGAAGAGTAGAGAAGAGTAGAGAGTAGAGTAGAGTAGAGAAGAGAAGGGAAGGGAAGGGAAGAGGTGGAGTAGGAACTAGGAGACAGGAAGAGGAAGAGAAGAGGAGAATGAAGAGGAAGGAGGAGGAAGGAAGGAGAAGGAAGGAAGAGGAAATAGCAGATGGGAGGAGGAGAAAAAGAATAATAAGAGGAGAAGGAGGAAATATGGAGGGGGAGGAAGGTAGGATGAGGAAGGAAGATGAAGTAGAAGAAGAGTAGAAGAGGAAATAGGAGGTGGAAGAGGAAATAAGAGAGAGGAGGAAGAGAAAAGAGAAGATAAAAGGTGGAATAGGATCTAGGAGACGGGAGGAGGAGGAAGAGAAGAGTAAGAGAAGAGGAGAAGAAGGAAATATGGAGGAAATGGAAAGGAGGGAAGAGGAAGAGAGGTGGAGGAGGACAAAGGAGGAAGGAGGGGGAAGAACAGAGGAAGGAGCAGGAGAAAAGAAGGAATTAAGAGGAGGACAAAAAAGGAGGAAGAAGGTCTCCAACACTGATAGTCCAGTGAACATGCATCTAACACGCATGTAAATAAGACTCAGTCTTACTCAATCACATGCACTTCAGACTATTTCCAGAGGGTCTGGCTGCCTTCAGAAGAGGCTCCCTGTGACCCCCTTCTTGGGAGTCAAGACCACCAGGCCAATGCCTGCTTCTCCAACTCCTCCTTGGAGGCCACAGTGGAGTAGGCACTCCGGGCTCTTCGGCACCTGAACTACGTTTTCTTGTTACTCCTAGGACTGCAACTTCACGGCAAACATCCTTTTGGAGGGCGTCCATTCGGGCAACTTCTTTGCCAAAATTGGGGGCTCGTTGGTCCTCCGAGGGTAAGTCTCCTTCTTGCCTTGCTCCCCTTCCCCTTCCGTCTTCCTGTTGTGGCCCGTCAGTGGCCTGTGCAGCTAGTAGCTGATTCCGACAGCGAGGAGGCTGGTGTGGTGCTGCACCAGCAGCCTGTGCAGCTGGCACTCGAGTCGGACAGTGAGGAGGCTGGAGAAGATGCGGTGCCAGAGGCAGGGATTCAGTCAGGGCCTTCAGAAGCTCCCATAAGTGAAGAGGAAGAAGAGGAGGAGCCTCTTCTCGACGCACGGGCGCGCAGAGCTGCCCAAAGGCAGGAGTGGCTCCTCAGGAGGAGGTCTCCTCGAGAGTAAGGCTTGGGGCTAATTGGCCACTCCCTTAGCCTATTTAAGGAGGAACGCCGACTGAAGCAATTTATAGGGAACAACTTTAGTTCATTCTCCTTCACGTCTGGATTCTCTGCAAATTGCTTCTGGGCTTTCTGCCAACTCTAGTAAGACTGATTACCTTATCTTAGAATTCTGGTAGGCTGTTAAGACAGTTTATTAACAGCCTTTGGTTGTTAAAGACTGAGTTATTTGAGTAAAATAAGCTTTGTATAGAGTTTGTAAGTGCTACGTTCTTTGGGGTCCGTAGCTGGGGCAGAACACTTCCCAAAGTATGTCTCCTGTTTGCAGGAAGTCCTCGACTTATGTCCATTCCATTTAGCAGATGCGTTAACGAGGGCAGTGACTTACAACCAGACCTCACACACTTAAAAACCGTTGCAGCATCCCACAATCACCTTATAAAAATTAAGATGCCCGACAATCCGCAGGTACAGAAAGTCCTCGACTTACGATGGTTCATTTAATGACCGTTCGAGGTTACAGTGACACTGGAAAAGTGGCTGACGGTCATTTTTCATGCTTTGTAGCGACCGTCCCCATGGACACGCGATCAAAATTCAGATGCTTGGCAAATGGTTTCGTATTTATAACGGTCGCAGTGTCCCCGGAGTGTGTGTGTGTGTGTGTCATGTGATCCCCAGTTGCAAACTTCTGACGAGCAAAGTCAACAGGAAAACCTGATTCCACTTAGTGACTTTGGTGCTAACTTAAACAACTGCAGGGATTCACTTAACCACTGTGGTAAGGAAGGTCATAAAATGGGACACTTCACAAATGTTCCACAATGATTTTAAATTGGGGTATTTTAAATTTTTGGGGTTTTAAACCGGCCAAATCTATTTAATTATTTTAATTTTTAATCATTGTTTTGTCTTGTGTTTTTAAATTGGCTGTACACCGCCCTGAGTACTTCGGGAGAAGGGCAGTATAGAAATAAAATTATTATTATTTATTATTATTATTATTATTATTATTATTATTATTATTATTATTAGCAACAGAAATTGTGGGCTCAATTGTGGTCACAAGTCGAGGATCTACTGTATATAAAAATTGGGCTGAGGAGGCGTGAGTTGAGAAAATTAGAACAGAACAGAACAGAACAGAACAGAACAGAACAGAGTTGGAAGGAACCTTGGAGGTCTTCTAATCCAACCCCCTTTCATATATACCATTTCAGACAAATGGTTGTTACTTCTTAAAAACCTCCAGTATTGGAGCACCCACAACTTCTAGTGGCAAGCTGTTCCACTGATTAATTGTTCCAACTATCAGGAAATTTCTCCTGAGTTCTAAGTTGCTTCTCTCCTTGGTGAGTTTCCATCCGCTGCTTCTTGTCCTACCCTCAGGTGCTTTGGAGAAGAGCTTGACTCCCTCTTCTTTGGGGCAGCCCCTCAAATATTGGAGCACTGCTATCATGTCTCCCCTACTCCTTCTCTTCATCAAACCAGACATACCCAAATCCTGCAGCCGATCTTCCTATATCTTAGCCTGAGTCCTCCTTGAGAATCCCAGCTTCATTCAGTTCAGGGGTGAAATCCAACAGGCTCTGACAGGTTCTGGCGAACTGGTAGCGGAAATTTTGAGCAGTTCGGAGAACATGCAAATACCACCTCTGGCTGGTTCCAGAGTGGGGTAGGAATGGAGATTTTGCAGTATCCTTCCCCAGGAGTGGGGTGGGAATGGAGATTTTGCAGTATCCTTCCCCAGGAGTGGGGTGGGAATGGAGATTTTGCAGTATCCTTCCCCCAGGAGTGGGGAGGGAATGGAGATTTTGCAGTATCCTTCCCCCAGGAGTGGGTTGGGAATGGGGATTTTGCAGTATCCTTCCCCAGGAGTGGGGTGGGAATGGAGATTTTGCAGTATCCTTCCCCAGGAGTGGGGTGGGAATGGAGATTTTGCAGTATCCTTCCCCAGGAGTGGGGTGGGAATGGAGATTTTGCAGTATCCTTCCCCCAGGAGTGGGTTGGGAATGGAGATTTTGCAGTATCCGTTCCCTGGAGTGGGGAGGGAATGGGGATTTTGCCGTATCCTTCCCCCAGGAGTGGGGAGGGAATGGGGATTTTGCAGTATCCTTCCCCCAGGAGTGGGGAGGGAATGGGGATTTTGCAATATCCTTCCCTCAGGAGTGGGGAGGGAATGGGGATTTTGCAATATCCTTCCCCCAGGAGTGGGGAGGGAATGGGGATTTTGCAATATCCTTCCCCCAGGAGTGGGGAGGGAATGGAGGTTTTGCAGTATCCTTCCCCTGCCACGCCCACCAAGCCCCGCCCACAGAACTGGTAGTAAAAAAATGTAGATTTCCCCACGGATTCGGTTCAATGTGGGCCAGGGGGGCCAGGGGTTCGCTGGGGAGTGGGTGGGTGGGAAGTTCTATCTTTTAGAAGGCCAAAAGACCCCCGTGGTTAAGACTCTCTGTCCTCTTGTGTGCCCCACAGTTTGCGTTTGTCTCCGTGGTGGACCTTAATCGGCGAGGTCAAGGTGAGTGTGTCAAGAGAGGAGAAAACTGCCAGGTGCAAAACCGTTTATTCTACGACCATTCTGGCCACTCTTGTTGAGGCAATTGCAGGTAGAGGTTGGCCTCAACTTACAACCGTCCGTTTAGTGACCGTGCAAAGTTACCACGGCCCTGAAAACAAGTCACTGATGACCGTTTTTCACACTTACGACCGTTGCCGCATCCCCCATGGTCGCGTGATCCAAATCCAGAGGCTTGGCAACTGACTTACGACGGTCGCTGTATCCCTTTTGCAGACTTCTGATCAACAAAGTCAATCTGGGAAGCTTGATTCACTTAACAACCGGATGACTCATTTAACAACTGCAGGGATTCACTTAACAACAGTGGCAAGAAAAGTCGTAAAATGGGGCAAAAGTACCTTCACAATTGTTTTGCTTAACAACAGAATTTTTTTGGCTCAACTGAGGTCGTACGTCGAGGACTTATCTGTAGTCCTCGATTTATGACCACAATTGACTTAAATACATAATTAAAGCTGGGGGTCAGATTAGAAATCTCAAAGATCCCTACCAGCTCTATTCTGATTGATTGATTGATTGAGCAGGGGGTTGGACCAGACCACCTCCAAGGTCCCTTCCAGCTCTATTCTGATTGATTGATTGATTGATTGGTTGATTGATTGATTGGTTGGTTGATTAATTGAGCAAGGGATTGGACTAGACCACCTCCAAGGTCCCTTCCAGCTCTATTCTGATTGATTGATTGATTGGTTGATTGATTGATTGATTGGTTGGTTGATTAATTGAGCAAGGGATTGGACTAGACCACCTCCAAGGTCCCTTCCAGCTCTATTCTGATTGATTGATTGATTGGTTGATTGATTGATCGGTTGATTGGTTGATTGGTTGATTGAGCAAGGGGTTGGACTAGAAAACCTCCAAGGTCCCTTCCAGCTCTATTCTGATTGATTGATTGATTGGTTGGTTGGTTGGTTGATTGATTGATTGAGCAAGGGGTTGGACCAGAAGACCTCCAAATTCCTTTCCAGCTCTATTCTGATTGAAATAATTCATAATTTCATAATTCCGAGGTGTTTTTTTCTTGTACAGGTGTCCCCTCTGGAGAGCTTCCTGAAGTTAGCCGTGCGTTTGGCATTAGCCGCGAATGACAGTAAGTCCAAAGACCCATCTCCCCCTTTTCCAATGGGGTGTCTCCCTCCCCCCCACCCCCAATTGCTGGCGATGGGAGCCATGACTTCCTCTTAGACCCCTCCTTCTTCCTTCTCTTCCCTTAGAAAAACTCCGAGCAGGGAAGCTGCTTCCCAGTTTCTACGGTGTCAGCCTGGTGGAACCTGTCGTCTCCATGCATGAGGTGGGTACGTGGGCAAGGGGCCGGTGGGCATATTGGACCCCTTCTTCATCTGCCCCCTATTTGGGGGCTTCTCGTGCTGCTGTCTCTATTCAGGTCTAGGAATTCCTATCTTGGGAAGTCGGACTATCCGATACAGGAAGCCCTTGACGGTTTGTTTAGTGACTGTTCGAAGTTACGACGCCATGGAAAAAAGCGAACTGTTGCAGCATTTCCCTAGTCACATCATCAAAAGTCAGACCATTGGCAACTGGCATGGACTTACGACGGTTGCACGTCACGCGACCCCCCCCTTTTGCGACCGTCCGACGTACGCAGTCCACGAGGAAGCCAGATTCGCTTAACAACCACGTTACCAACCTAAAATCTGCTGCGATTCGCTTAACAACGGTGGCAAGGAAGGTCGTAAAACAGGACAAAACTCACCTGTTTCACGTAGGGATAGAAATTTTGGGCTCTGTTGTGGTTGCAATTCGAGGATTACCTGTAGTATTCCCATGATGTTGCAATAATATCCATGTTACCTGTAGTCCTTGACTTATGACCATAATGGACCCCAGAATTATGGTCATAAATTGTGCCAGTTGTTAAAGGGCCCAATTTTTAATTATTATTTTTTTGTGGTGGTCATTAAGCAACTCTGACAGTTGTTAAGTGAATATGGCGGTCATTAAGTGAGTGCATTGTACAGTGGGTCCTTTACTCCATTGTACTTTAGTCCTCGACTTATGACCACATTTTCTCCTCTCTTAGTCTCCTCCTTACGGTGTAACGGATTTTAAGAAATACAGGCAGTCCTCGCCTTAACGACCACAACTGACTCCAGTTGTTCAGTGAGCTTTGCCCCGTTTTACGACCTTTCTTGCCGCAGTCGTTAAGTGAGTCACATGGTCATTAAGCGAATCCGCCTTCCCCATGGACTTTGCTCGTCCGAAGGTCGCAAAAAGGGTGATCCTCCAGGATGCTGCAACCATCGTAAATATGAGTCGGTCGCCCCAAATCCGAATTTTGTTCACGTGAGTCGGAAGTGTGAAAAAAACAGTCCTTTTTTTTCCCCCGGTGCTGTCGCAACTTCAAACGGTCCCTAAATGAGCAGTTGTAAGTCGAGGACTACCTGTAGCCAATGGGCCTGCTTGGCAAGAAATCGGAAATAAATTTGCTAAGAAGGAATGATATAGGGCCGGGGTCTGTAACCTTAAACACTCAAAGAGCCATTTGGACCCACAGAAAAGAAAACACCGGGAGCCACAAAACACTTCCAGTTCCTGACTATTTCTTGAGTGGCCACAAAACTAGCAAATGTAGTTGAATTAAACGTTCTGTTTTCTTCTGAAACTTTTCTTTTCTTGGATTTATCGATGGTTGGCCTACCGGGGGTTGAAAAGCTCAATAAATCGCGTGCCGGCGGGTGTCACACATGGGTGGTTGTGACGCATATTTTGAGTGACAGGGAGCCGCAGCAGAGGGCGTGAAAGAGCCACATGTGGCTCCAGAGCCGCAGGTTGCTGACCCCTGATATAAGATAATGTTTTATTTTTCAGAAACGGAGTACCAGGCCCTTGAGTGGATGTGGCTGCCGGGACGGTCAAAAAAGTCAAAATGGCTGCAATGGAAGCTCCACCTCCAAAGCCACGTTCAAAATGGGCGTGGCTCCCGTGGCACAATCGAGGCTGCCATTTTGACTTTTTTGGGACCACGCCCTGCAGAGTTTTCCTCCCCTTCAAGAAAAGGAGAGAGAAAAAAGACGGGAGGATCCGAAATTTCACCTTCTTTTTTGTTTGTTTCTTTTCCCCTCTTCAGGGATATATGGTGATAGAAACAGACCTGCGCCTTTCCCTTCCAAACTCGGTTCCGTAGCCCCCCCCCTGCCCCCCACCCCCAGGGATGAGCGCACACGGGGTCAAAGAAGAAGGAAGGATGAAGAAACGGGAAATGCGGGGGTCTCTGCTTGAACTGCAGCTACAAACAAGAGATCCTGAAATCATGGAGGCCGTTTAGGACATTAGATCTCAAAATTATCTTTTTTTCACCCTCTTCTTCTTCTGTTCAATCGTAGCTGATTAAGTACTTACATTGCCTTCTTCCTAGGGCTCAGAAAAAGTGTCTGGCCCAAAGACACCCACCTGGCTTCTATGGTTAAAGCGGGACTAGAACTCACTGTCTCCTGGTGATTGGCCCAAAGACATCCAGGTGGTTTTCTTGCCTAAGGCGGGACTAGAACTCACTGTCTCCTGGTGATTGGCCCAAAGTCACCCAGTTGGCTTTCATGCCTAAGGCGGGATTAGAACTCACCGTCTCCTGGTGATTGGCCCAAAGTCATCCAGTTGGCTTTCATGCCTAAGGCGGGACTAGAACTCACCGTCTCCTGGTGATTGGCCCAAAGTCACCCAGTTGGCTTTCATGCCTAAGGTGGGACTAGAACTCACCGTCTACTGTTGATTGGGCCAAAGTCATCCAGTTGGCTTTCATGCCTAAGGCAGGACTAGAACTCACTGTCTCCTGGTAATTGGCCCAAAGTCACCCAGCTGGCTTTCGTGCCTAAGGCGGGACTAGAACTCACTGTCTCCTGGTGATTGGCCCAAAGTCACCCAGTTGGCTTTCATGCCTAAGGCAGGACTAGAACTCACCATCTCCTGGTGATTGGCCCAAAGTCACCCAGTTGGCTTTCATGTCTAAGGCGGGACTAGAACTCACTGTCCCCTGGTGATTGGCCCAAAGTCACCCAGTTGGCTTTCATGTCTAAGGCGGGACTAGAACTCACTGTCCCCTGGTGATTGGCCCAAAGTCACCCAACTAGCCCAAGGTGGGACTAGAACTCACCGTTTCTTGGTGATTGGCCCAAAGTCACCTAGCCGGCTTTCATGGCTAGAAGAAGTCTAGAACTCACCGTTGCCTGGTTTCTTGGCCACCGAGAAAATTCATGGCAATCAAGGCCTCAAATCGTTGAAAGGGGCAGCATATAAATGTAATAAATGAAAGAAATAAAAAATAAAACTCAATCGGGTGTTGCGAAGGGGTCTGAAGGGAATGTTGCTCTGCAGAAGGGGGGGGCTCTTGGAGACCCCCCCCCGTGGCCAGCTGTGAAGAAGGTTCTGTGCTCAATGGACCGTGATCCGATTAAACACACAAACGCACCAAAGCATGCAAGTTTGTTTTCATTGTTTCATGCATTCCTGCCTGCCTCTCACCATCCTGTTCGCTCACATAGGGCCGCTCTCCTCAGGGTTCCGACGGTGAGCCAATGTCGTCTGGCGGTGCCCAGGGGTAGGGCGTTCTCTGTGGGTGCTCCCACCCTCTGGAATGAATTACCTACCGAGCTCCGGACGGCTCCTGATCTCCGTTCCTTCCGTCGGGACCTGAAGACTTGGCTGTTCAAACAAATAGGCTGACTCTGATTCCGGGTTTTATTATTTACTCTTAATTAGTTATTTGGTTTAAAATGGGATTTAATTGTACTTGTTTCTTAAACTTGTGTTCGCCACTCTGAGTCCTTCGTGTTGTGGCTCCGTTGCCTGAGCCTGGGCTATCAACAGATGCAGATTCTGAGAGTGAGGAAGAGGAGTTGGCAAGGCCTCCCTCTCCAGGACCCTCCTCTCTGGCAATGCCTCCGGAGGACACTGAAGGCCAAACGATAGGCTCAGAGCCAAGCACGTCCCCGCAGACACAGGTGGACAGCGACGAAGGAGATAAGTGCTGGCTGGACCCGCGACAGAGGCGCAGGGAGAAGCGTGCACAGCAGAAGGGAAGGCGTGTCAGAGATTAGCTGAGTCACTGGACCACGCCCCACAGGGTATAAATGTTTTGGGGTGAGAGTCCATCTGTACGCTGATGATACTCAGCTGTACATCTCCACCCCAGACCACCCCAACGATGCCCTTGATGTGATGTCTCGCTACCTGGAGGCTGTGCGGGTCTGGATGGGGAGAAATAGGCTCAGACTCAACCCATCCAAGACCGAGTGGCTGTGGTTCCCGGCGTCGCGATATAGTCAGCTGGTGCCATCGCTGACTATTGGGGGTGAGTCTTTACCCCCCACAGAGAGGGCCCGCAATCTGGGCGTCCGCCTGGACGCACGGCTGTCTTTAGAAGAACATATGACGGCCGTGGCCAGGGGGGCTTTTTATCAGGTTTGCCTGATCCGCCAGTTGCGGCCCTTTCTGGACTGCGACGCCTTGCGCACAGTCACTCACGCTCTTGTCACCTCCCGACTGGACTACTGCAAAGCTCTCTACATGGGGCTCCCCTTGAAAAGCACCCGGAGGCTCCAACTGTCCAGAAAGCGGCCGTGCGGGTGGTTATGGGCGCAACTCATTGTGCCCACGTGACACCCCTCCTGCGCGAGCTGCACTGGCTCCCAGTGGTCTTCCGGGTGCAATTCAAGGTGTTGGTTACCACCTTTAAAGCACTCCATGGCATTGGACCTGGGTACCTTCGAGACCGCCTTCTGCCACCAACAGCCTCCCACCGGCCAGTCCGCTCCCACAGAGAGGGTCTCCTCAGGGTGCCATCGGCCAAATTATGTTGGCTGGCGACACCCAGTGGGAGCCCCTGCCCTGTGGAATGATCTGCCCCCAGAAATTCGTAAAATCTCTGATCTCCGTGTATTTCGCTGTGCCCTCAAAACCATGTTGTTCCGCAAGGCTATCAATGTAAAGGTTTTAATTGGTTTTAAATGGGATTTTAAATTTGGGGTTTTATAAATTGGGCCTATTATTTAATAATTTTAATTATTTTTAAATTTTGTCTGTCTTTTTGTTTTTAATTAGGCTGTACACCGCCCTGAGTCCTTCGGGAGAAGAGCGGTATAGAAATAAAATAAATAAATAAATAAAATAAAATAAATAAATGTGGGTGTGGTGGGCGGTTCAGTTTGTGACGAGCAAAAACTGGAAATACTCCATGATCTCTGCATTACTGGACTTTGCCTGCTTTATCGGACTGCATTTGGATTAATCCTTGTATTGTTGAAAACTCTGCTTGTTTTATCGGAATGCTGGCAGTCTAATCTTTGTTTTGTGTGAGTAAAGTCTGAATTGGCAGCTAGCCACTGGGTTGATGCCAGCTTTATCTTCAAAGAGTTTTGTCGTGTGGCTTATTAACTCCGGGCCGTCTGTGGGGGTGCGTGTGTGGTACGGGGACAGAACACTTCGGGAGAATGGCGGCATATAAATACATGTAATAAATAAATAATAAATAAGTTGAGAGAGGAGTCTTAAGAAACTATTTGGTTTAATAAAAGAACACATAAAAACAAAGCCTGCAAGAATGGATTTCTGAGAGGATTTTCTTCTCACAATCCCCTCCTCTGCAGCCATTGATTACAAATGCATAGACATACAAATTCCTGAACACAGACATCACAGTGGTAAATAATTTTCTCTTACATCGTCATGGATATCTTATCTAAAAGATATTGGTGTTGATCCCTAGGTAATGGCTTCGTGAGTAAGTCTGCCATCTGCTCCTTCGTCTCGCAGGAAACTATCCGAATGAAACCCGTTCTTGTTAACTGCCTGACATGTTTATAGTAGATGTCGATGTGGCGAGACCTCTGGCCCACTGCATCAGCCCGCGATATATTGATAGCAGCCATGTTGTCCTCATAAATGTCAATGGGATATACTGGTTTCTCCCACAAATTTATTAGGAGATCGTCAAACCATACCAGATTATTAGATGCTTTGGATAAACACACATATTCTGCCTCGGCAGTGGAAGTAACAATTAACTTCTCTTTATCTGAGTACCAATAGATGGGGCTCCCGTTCAAAAGTATAACGTAACCCAAAATACTCTTTCTGGACTTAAAGTCCCCTGCCCAATCGGCATCCGAATAGCAGCATAAACTTGGTTTGTCTGATACGTCTGGCTCCAATAAAAGTGAATAGTTCACAGTTTTCTTTAAATACCTTAAAACCCTTTTTATTCCGCTCCAGTGATACTGAGTGGGATTCTCAGAATGTCTGGACAAAACGTTTACGGTCAGACTAATATCTGGCCTTGTCCAGCCTGCGATATACAGCAATGATCCTATCACTGATTTATAAAGCGTCTTTTGTTCAAAAGCTTCACTTTCAACGTACATATTCTCGAGGAAATCTGTCTGCATAGGCGTGTCACAAGGTCTGGCCTCTGTCATGTTACATCTCTCTATCAATTCCGTGATCTTATCCTGCTGAGAGAGTTTGTACCCCTTCTCCGTTTTTACGAATTGGACCCCTAAAAAGTTAGCAATTCGGCCCAGGGGCTTTAGGGCAAAATTCTTACTTAACTCCTTAGAAAACATTTTACATCTATCCTCACACTTGCAGACGTACAAAATATCATCCACGTAAACCAAAACTGTCTCCTTAATACCTTGGTGGTTTTTAATGAACACGCATTCATCAGCTGATGAGATTTTAAAACCCATTTGGTTTAAACTACTGGTAAGACCTTCGTACCACCTCCTGCCAGATTGTTTAAAACCATAGAGGCTTTTATTTAAAAGCCAAATGCCACTTTCCTGGTGATCTACACCTTGAGGAGCCCTGACATACATCTTCTGATCCAACTTGGCGTGTAAATAAGCAGTTTGTATGTCAAATTGATATACATTCTCCCCTTGTATGGCAGCTATGGTGAGTGCGGTCTTCACACTTTCAGGCCACACGGTAGGCGAGAAGGTATCAACATAGTTGTCAGGGAATCTTTGTGAGAAACCCTGTGTGACTAATCTCGCCTTGTAAATGAACTGTCCATTGCCAATAGGTTTCTTCTTAAAAATCCATCTCGTGCCAATTACCTTCTGGTTCCTTGGTAATTCCGTTGGTGTGAATACTTCTAACTTTTTCAAACTCTGCAATTCGGTATCCATCGCAGCACGCCAATTTTGTTGTTCTCGATCAGATAGGGTGAATACATCTTCATACCTTTGGGGTATGACTGAAGCTGCCCTCTCCTTTCTTAATTTGTCTTCTGCAATTAATTTATCAGATAGAACTTCCAGGGACAGGGTCTCATAACTGATGCTATCCAATTGGGAAATAAAGTTATCCCAGCTAGGGCCTAGAGAATTAATTATGATGCTGATCAAACTTCGCTCAGACACATGTTCCCCCCTTAGAATTAACTCTTCCCTTATCTCATTAAGCTCGCAAAGATGCTCACTCATATCCACCCCTTCCTTCAGTTTTGCAGAATAAAATTCCCTGGAGATTCTACGCCTTGCGTTAGAATTCTTGCAAAACCATTGAATCAGTTTCTGCCAAACCTCACCTATGGTTAAACCATGCGGAATACTGGGATACAAGGCAGGATCAATTGACGATAGCAAAATACAAAACGCCTTGTGATGCAACAAGTCAATTTCCAGAGTCCAGGGTTTTGGCGGGGGATCGAGTAACAGTGATAACACGCCTTCCCTCATTAAAATCAGTTGAACGTTTTTGACCCATTTGTTTAAGTTTTTCCCACTGATATTCAAGGTTTTAAAACCAGATGGTAAAACGTTTGCATTTGCGGGCGCGGAGGTAGAAAATTGTCCAAGATGCTGCAAACTTTTAAACTGACAATAAGGCATAGGGATTGCAGCGGTTGGCTTAAAATCTGCCGATTGATCACTTGATGATTGTTCCTCTCTAGTGAGTGAGGTCGGGATTCCCAGCTGCATAGGCCCGGAGTTCACTCGTGCCTGGAATCCAGAATGCAAAAGTCTCCTCTGCTGCTCCTCCGCAGAAAACCTTGGGTGTGCTCCTGGAGCCTCAACCTCAGTTGGTGCAGTCCCAGAGATAGCCCCAGAAAATGGAGGCGCCGTGGGAGAACCCGCCCCATTTACAACAGGTAAGGAGCGGGTCGCGGACATCGAGGACGTATTAACACTGGCCGCTGCTGCACGTTGAGCAAGGAATAACTGAAAATCAGTTCCAAAAACCGCCGTTAACGTTTCAATTGCACTCGCGACCTCAGATTCGGGAGGTGGACTTCTCGTATTCAAAACTGTGACCGCCGGAACCGTATTGGTCGCTGGGGTAGAAAACAGCCCAGGCAGCATTGGTGACATTCCTGACGCAGCTGGAACTAAGGATGGTGTTGCCGTCGTTGGAGGGATAAAACTTCCGGCTGGCTGATTTAAAACAGTTTGGACAGTAGATGGTGCCACAACATTTGGCGGGAAATTGAAAGAAGGCAGCCTATTGTTTGTTACTTTGGGTCTGCAACCAGCAAGGGGGGTTACGGGGGAAGATTGAATATCCCTTACCGGTCTGGCGTTATCCTGGGTTTCAATCCTGTCCCTTGCCGTCACCAGCGTAGTTGCTGCTTGCATCAAAATACTGAGATCAACCACCGGATTTTCACACGATGTTGGGAGACCGAGGGTTCGAAGTATGATTGACCTCACCTCATCTTCTCCCATTGGTCTCGCATTCAATGCCACGGGAGACACTCGTCCACCTTCTGTTCCTCCAAGCGGGGGGAAATCACCTTCAGCAGCGTGCATCTCGAGAGCTGGGGTATCTGTTTCAAAACTCACAGCCTCTTCGCTCTCCTTGCTTGAAGTCCTCCATCCTGGCTTGTGCTTCCATCGATTCACGTTGGAACTTGTTTGCTCCTGGTGTTGGAAGATATGAGAAACTCAATATTAAAAGAGCATGGAATACAAATATAAAGCCACTCGGGTGGTTGTTTTTTATATATCAAGACATCTATTGTTGACGGGGGCAGATGGTAATTGAAGATACCGAACATACTGTTGGAATTAGGATGTGATGTTACCCTAATATGGGTGATGGAGTTAACAATCCAGCTGAAAGACACTACAGAAGATATTATATGGATTACAAGCTTAAAGTCATTTGAGGATTTTATTTATATAAGGGAATACTTCTTAGTGGTGTGGGCAGAAGAATAAAGATATCAAGAACTATTAAGTATGGTAGTTCTGTAGGAAAGTGGGTGGAGATAGGTTAGCTTATTGATTGTTTAGTTGAAGAAAAGGGATATTATGTTTAGATATGAATATATGTAAAAGATTTGAGTTAAGAGCTATATCTATGGGGGTGGAGGAAATGGGCAGACTATGAGTTGAATAAATGTTAAATTAGGATTTATTATATCGTTTTATAGTGGAAGGTTGCTTTGAAATGTCATATTAATATACAAAAAAGATTTGATTTAAGAGATATATGTATGGGGGAGGAGTAAAAGAGTAGATCATGAGTAGAAATTGTTAAATTGGGGGATATAATAATATTACTATGTTAAATTAGGAGTTATTATATAATGTTACAGTAGAATGTTATTTCGAAATGTATAGTATAAGGGGGATATAATAATATTATTAGAAAGAAAGGGTCAGCATATGGGGGATGGAGCAAGGGGATGGTAAAGTATTATATAATCTGTTATGAATTTGGGTAGTACCTTGAAGAAGCCACAGGGGGAGGGGAGGGCGAGGGGGGGTTAGGGAGGAGGGGGGGGAAAGGGGGAAAAATTTGTATTTGAAAAACTTTTTCAATAAAAAAAAAAAGAAAGAAAAAAAAAAGAAAAGAGCAGGGAAATTCCCCTAAAAGAAAATAAGCAGAAACTCAGGCAGAGTTTCAGCCCCCACCTTTATCAATGGGCCATTAAGAAGCTGAGACAGCCACCTTATTTTCCACAACAAAGGAAGAAAAAAAATTACAGGGGCCTGCAACATCCAGACAGATGTGGGACACAGGAGAGAAAAAACAAACACCCCAAAAGGAAAAGAAATCAAGCCGAAGTAATTTAAACACATGAGAAAAAAGGAGAAAAACACTAAATCACTAAAACACAGAAATAGCAAACTGAATAATGATAGGGAACGAACAACTACAAAGGGCTAGGAAAAACAGAGAGTGGACTATAAAACAATTACTTATTTGCCAGATCCAGGACGGAAGAACCTAATCACAAACAAAAACAGGATTTAAACACCGTAAAACAATCACACGCACAAATCAAAGAATTCACACGCCAAATCAAGAGAATTTCAAAAGACTTTAAAGGATCACGTAGAAAATCAAAAGATGTTTTAGGATATAAAAAAGGGTTACTCTTACAGTTCAAACAGGCTAGCCTCGGAACGCTGTGCTTGTATTTGTTTCTTGCCTGCCTTCCTATAAACAATAAACTAATTCTGCTCTCAAGCAGCTGACCTCCTCCCAGCGGGAGTTTTGAATTCAAGAAGGGAAAAGCTCTGCCTTCCAACAATCCTTAAAGGGAAAGGCTTCTTTTTCCTTCCAACACTGGTAAAAGCCTGGGTTACAACTTTCTCCTGTCCTGCGTTGGCTTAATTAGTGCATTGTGGTGTGAATCGGGTCCATCAGAACCATCCTCTGCTACCAATTGTGAAGAAGGTTCACAATGTACTCAATGGACCGTGATCCGATTACACACAGAAACGCACCAAAGCATGCAAGTTGAGAGAGGAGTCTTAAGAAACTATTTGGTTTAATAAAAGAACGCATAAAAAACAAAACCTGCAAGAAAACGCCAACAGCCAAAAAGCTCTCCTCTCAGCTCTTCCTGGAGTCATCCCACAGCATGGGAGGTCCTCAGTCCTTTGTCTGCTGGTTTGGCAGCTGCTTATATGCTGACTCATTGTCCGTTGAAAACCCCGGGCTGCGCTCTGATTGGCTAATTCAACTGTTCAGACTGGAAAACAATCAATGACTGCAGCAATATGCTGAGAGGATTTTCTTCTCACACCAGCCCTGGTTTTTACACAGACACACACACACACACCCACCCACCCACACACACACACACAGAGGCAGTTGAAAAAGCTAATCTTGGCTTGGATTGCAACTTCCAATTATTTCCGAGATCTGTCATTTGCGCGTGGGAAGCTTTGAGTCCACAATGTCACTTTTAAAGAAGGAGGACGCTGTTCAGATAGTCCCCGACTTAACAACCATTCGTTTAGTGACGGCTTGAGTTGACGACAGGGCTGAAAAAAAAAGGGAACGTATGACCGCTTCTCAACGCCTTTAGGACCGTTGCAGGATCCTCAGGGATCACCAGATCAAAATTCAGAGGCTCGGCAACTGGCATGGACTTGTGACAGTCTGCAAATGTCCCGGGGGGAGGAGGGGGGTCAGGGAGGGAGGAAAGGAGCGGTGGGGTTCACGTGATGATCCCTTTTGACCTTCCCAGCCAGCCTGCTTCCAACAAGCAAAGGCAATGAAGAGTGTTGGATGATGCTTAAAGACAGTGTCATTCACTTAACGACTGCAGGCATTCCTTTCGCAGCCCTGCTCAACGAGGTCACAAAATCAGCCGCGACTCGCTTAACAACCGTTTGCCTTAGCAGCAGAAATTCTGGTCCCGGCTGTGGTTGTAAATCGAGGACCACCTGTGTAAACTGGCATCCCGGAAGCGCAAAAGGGGAGGTTCAGCAAAACATGTGTGTGTGTTTGTATTTCTGGACTGTGTGTGCATATGTGTGTGTGTATATGTGGGTATATATGTGTGTGCTTTGTGTGTGTGTGTGTTTGTGTCTGTGTGTGTATGTGTCTGTGTGTATATGTTTGTGTGTGTGTTGTATCTGTGTGTGTGTTTGTGTATATATGTGTATGTGTATGTGTATGTGTTTGTGTGTGTATGTATGTTTGTCTGTTGTGTGTGGTTTTTGTGTGTGTATGTGATTGTGTATGTTTGTGCATGTGTTTGTGTGTATATGTTTGTGTTTGTGTGTGTATCTGTGTTTGTGTGTTGATGTTTGTGTGTGTGTGTGTGTATCTGTGTTTGTGTGTGTGTATGTGATTGTGTATGTTTGTGCATGTGTTTGTGTGTATATGTTTGTGTTTGTGTGTGTATCTGTGTTTGTGTGTTCATGTTTGTGTGTGTGTGTGTGTGTGTGTGTGAGGGGTGGGTTCTAAATTTTTTTACTACGGGTTCTGTGGATGTGGCTTGGAGGTCATGTGACTGGGTGGGCGTGGCTAGCTGGTCATGTGACCGGGTGGCTGTGGCTATGTGTATAGGGACTACTCAGAGGACTGAAAAAAGTGATTTCTGACAGGTCCTCACACTTATGACCATCCTCACATTTATGCCCATGCAGCATTCTTAACAACCGTGTCACTCATTTCACAACTGCTTCCCCTCACCATGGTGATAAGATAGGGCAAAAAAACGTAAAATGTGAGAACAGTCGTAAATTCGAGGACTGGTCAAAAGTGCAAGAAGCAGTCAAAAATATTTTTTTCAGCCCTCTGTGTAGTCCATATGCACAAAAGGACTAACCAGAGGGCTGAAAAAAGTGATTTCTGACAGGTCCTCGCACTTTTGACCGGTCTTCGCACTTATGACTGGTCATCATTTATGTCCATTGTAGCATTCTTAACAACCGTGTCACTCATTTCACAACTGCTTCCCTTCACCATGGTGATAAGATAGGGCAAAAAACGTAAAATGTGAGGACAGTCGTAAATTTGAGGACTGGTCAAAAGTGCGAGGACCAGTCAAAAATAACTTTTTCAGCCCTCTGAGTAGTCCATATGCACAAAAGGATACAGCAATAGAGAGGGATGAAGGAAGGAGAAGAGAGATGGAAGAAGGAAGGAGAGAGAGGGAAGGAAGAGAAGGGATGAAGGAAGGGAAGGGAAATTAGAGTAGGAGTGAGGGGAAGAGAGGGAGGAAGAGAGGAGGAGAAGGAGAAAGGAAGAGGAAGTAGGGAGGAGAAGAAGAGGGTGGGGGGAAGAGAAAGTAAGAAGGAAAGAAAAGAGAGAGGTGGTAAATTTGAGGAGAAAGATTGCTGTACAATAAAAAAGATGAAAGGGAAGAAAGCCAACCCCAAACAAATATAAAGATATTAAGATAAAGAATGAATTGTTAAACTTTAAAGAATAAAAGAGAACAAATAGCAATAATTAGAAACACACATACAAACATACAATGTATTTTCTTTGAACAGAGTATTTGGCCGGTTCACAAATTTAAACAGTGTTTAGTCATTTCAATTAAATTTACAATTTCTATATTTCCTTTTTGCCATATTTATTCCTCATCTATTTTTTTAAAAAAACAATATTACCCTTCATCCACATCTCTAATCTTAATCAAATTCAATTTTTCCCTTCTAATCTATATTATACCCCTTCCCATTGTCATCTATTTTTATATCCATCCTTACATTGGTTAATTATGTAATTATGTAATACAGTTGTTTAATACAAATTCAACATTTTAATATAAATCAATTAGTTACATAACTATCTTTTTTGTATATTAATCAATATGAACATGAATATTCCAATTATTTCCATGCAATCCAATTTCTTACAAATCAATTAATTATATTTACCAATAATAATAAACCAAATAATTTCCCCCATATATTCCTCCAAACTACAACTTAACCATTTCTGCTTTCAACACAATATACAATTAATAGTATCTCAATTATTACAATTCCCTAGTTAAATAGAGCTTTTTTTTCTTTTGTGTTTTAAAATCTTGAACTCTCCTCTTTTGCCCTAAATTTCCCATTGTTTGCACCTACCTTTTTGGGTGAGGGAAAAAAAAAAAGATATCTCTCTGTGCCTCATTTTGTCACGTTGCAGCAAAGACCCTGCTTTACTTTCAGTTTCGTTTTTTCAGCATAGCTAGGGAGGAAAAAAAAATCTGCTCCAGCACTCTTTGCCGCTAGCAACAGAGCCCTGCGCAAAACAGCCGAGAGCAAATCAGCTGAGAGTCGGGAGGCCGATCTAATCAACTTGTGCTAATTAACCTATGCTGAAGCTGAAAGGGGCTGTTTGTCATAGGTAAATGCCTTATTCTCAAATGAAAGAGACATATGCTCATAGAGTACTAAGGGTTAATTTATTCTTCCTTCCCTAATGTATTCCTCTGTAACCACTCCTACCTTCTAACCCCGCCTCAATGATATAAAAGGGGATGCATACTCCTCCTAATTGCTTCTATCTACAATCACTCAGTGAATATAGAATGCCTGCTGTAAATAAACAATACTTTGTTTGAATATTATAATTCTGAATTCTTTATTGAATCCGATCCTCGAATTACGGCAACACTGTTTTTTCTATTTTTGCAGGCCCCGGTCTACTCATTTGTTGGCTTTTAACACTGATCAGCTGTAGGGCGGCCCTTGGAAGCCCCGCGGCAAGAGTTTAAACAGTTTTTTCCCCTCTAGCCATCAGCTGGGACTCAGATTGGGAGTGGGCGGGGTAAGCGACCGGTGACCGGGCCGGGAACCGGTTTGGGAGCGTGGTTCTCTGAACTATTAATTTTTTTTACTACCGGTTCTTGCGAACCGGTGCGAACCAGGAGCAAATCACCACTGGGGGGTGGGGGGGCGTGTATTGCAGACTCTCTTCTTAAAAGCTTTTATGCAAAACCGGGTGGTCCCCAGTGAGCCTCTGTTTCCCATTTGGCCGCCAGAGGGCACCGGCGGCCGGTTTGAGTCGCTCAGATCTGCTGCAGATTTTAGCATCTTCCCAAAATCCAGAGAGAAATTGGGGGAGCCAGCATCAGGAGCAGAAGTGGGGGGCGGGGGGGGCGGAGGAGAAAGGCTGGCCCGTTCTGGGGAGGAAATGACTGTAATAAGGAAGACAGGAGCTCTCTATTGACACAATATAATTAGCCAAACAGGGCCCCCCCCCTGATCAAGCCTTCCTGGAGGCAGAGGGGAAATGCAAATTTGCCATCCCGATAATCACAGGCTGCGAGGAGGATTCACGGGGAAGGCAGGGACAAGCTGGCAATCTTTGCTTCTCGCCGTTAAGTCGTAACCAAGAACGATGATTAAACGTGGACCGGAGACCCCTTGTGCCTTTGCATTTCATTCCCTTTCCTGATTTATAACAGCCCCAAATTAAAAGGGGTCTTGGCTGCCTCTAATTCTTCTGCTCGATGCAGGAATCACAATTCCGTCCCTCCCACCCACCCACCCACCCACCAGGTAGCTGCTGATGGGATGGGGGGGGGGGAAACCAACCTCTTTCACATTCAGGAGCTGGAATCCTCCAGGCTGATCTTGGGAAGTCCCGAGAATAGAAAAAGAGTTATTAGAAAGGGATAATGGACGGGGGGAAAATATCTTTTTTTTATTATATTGTAAGCCAACTAGAATTGCCCCAAACAGTGAGATGGGCAATATATAAATGAGAGAGAGGGGGGGAGAGAGAGGGAGGGAGGGAGGGAGGGAGGGAGAGATAATAGTAAAACTATAGAAAGATAGATAGATGGATGGTTAGATAGATGAACAGACAGACAAGCTAGCCAGACAGATAGACAATAGATAGATAGATAGATAGAAAGATAGATAGATAGATAGATAGATAGATAGATATGATAGATATGATAGATAGATAGATAGATAGATAGATAGATAGATAGATAGATAGATAGTAGATAGA